CAGTTAGTAAATCGATTAATAGAAAAATACTGACAATTAGTTAAATAAATATAGTTATGATTATAAATAACTACTCTACTATGTCTGTAAAAAAATAAGACACTTCGGCCGGTCCCAAACCCGGATGAAAAAGGAGGAGGGGGAGCAGTAACAAGCTCACTAAAAAACCTGGGTTCAGCTGGCCCGGCTGATAGTACCCTGTAAGGGCTCCTAATCCAGGGATACAGGATGAGCAGCGTTTGTACTCCATGTTAGGAGCAGCTGCACATGGCGTCTGTTCCTCATGTCAGAGGCGGCCATTTCTTTTGGAGCTAAGTCGGCCTGCCACTGAGTAGTGCTCCCAGTCTTAATGACAAAGACAGACACATACTACTTCACCCAGTCATGATGGTAGTGAAACATACACCATTAAGGGTCACAACTTGATATCCTAATATGATTGAGTGGAGATAAGAAAGAAGGACATCTCTACTCTTCTACATCTCCAGAAACCGGTTGAATTATTTAATTTATATCCAAGAGATTTAGATCAATTGGTATGTAAAATAGACTTTTTAAAATGTTCAAAATTAGGTTAAATCAACTCAGAAATTAAGTGAGAAATTGAGAAAAATGTTCAAAATGGGGTTAAACCCCCTAAAAATCGGCTATATAGACAAATTTGGATTAAAACGGTTAAAGAAACTATAAAGACGTTAAAACGGAGAAAAATGTTCAAAATCAATAAACAAGAATATGTATTTAACCTGAGAAAATCCAGTCTTTACTTAAGACGTAAAAAGGAGAACAGTTCCACAATTTTTTAAGCTTTCAACGATTTCCTTTCTCAAAGTACTTCCTGCTAGGTGAAAGTACAGATTAACTCCTTTTTAGAAAGAAAGCTCGTACTTATGATGATATAATACTTCCTTTCAGGTGGAAGTTTCCTTGTGGTTCTTCATCTGGCTACACTGCAGCGCTTCACAGAATAATTCTGTGAATTTTTTTAATTGATTTTTGACCAGCATCTTGATGTGAATTTCATTATTTATTTTCGAAAATATTGTAGGAATCTCTCTTTCGTTCAAAAATGTATTATTATCTTTGATAATTTATATGATAATTATTATTTATTTAATAATTCCTTATTCTCTCTCCGAATCTTTTTATTTAGCTACTTTTAAATAAATAAAAAATATTGAAATAATTAGTTATCATCATACTTCTTTTGTTGACATTTTCTTTGTCATCGCCTGGTGAATATTTATATTTTTGTTCAATCGGCTATAATCAATGTCATAATAATAACCTATATTATTAATTTATAATTCTATATTATATAAGAAATTATTTTTTTTTATGAACACGACTGCGCAAGCAAGTTTTTTAACCACATATATTTACAAGCTCTGTCTAATAATTTTCCGAAAAGTTCCAATATTTTTCAAAAATACGAATAATAAGGGGGTCGGTGGAAGGCTGGTTAAACCGTTTGGTTTACGACCACTACGACCCGGGTTCGATTCCCGCATTGGACATTTTTTATGTTTAAAATAAAAATGCTCCAATGGCCTCCCGATTCTTGCAAAAGTCCAACCCCACCAGCGAGTGCAAGTAACCAAACGGGGCTCTGGCACATTTGTAAGTGCAAAGTCGAACTGCTTTCACATGTGTAGACATGTGGTGCGCTTACAGTAAAAAGCAGTCGCTAACTACCCACCATGATTATCATGGCCTGTACCACGTGTACTAGGGATAAGCAAAAAAAAAAAAACGAATAATAAAGATTTTTGAACATCAATTCTAATAAACATAAAGCTTGAGCAATATGACATTATATAGAATCAATATAAGTGAAAAATAATAAAATATAAAAAATATATATAAAAGGTTAGGTGTTGATATTAAAAATAAAAAAAGACATATCCTGACCGTGCTCACATGAGCATTTCTAGATAGCAGAGCGCCATCTAGTGGAACAAAAATAAACTAAACATTTATTTAACTTGTTTCGTGATATTTGGAAACCCGGAAGAGCATTGCTCGATTCAAATATTTAAATGTAATTCTACTGTCTAAATAGATTATATCTATAGTTAGTTTAAATACCATTTCTAAGATTCCATCCTTCAGTGTAACATATATAAGCAGAATTGTCCAATACGGTATTAGAGCTCCAAGAAGTGGTCTGGTAGATTAAATTGGTGAAACCGCTGGGAGGGTTTACCAATGGTAAGTCAAATCCACCCAATATTTTTCATAGCAGTAAGGATAGTAGAAGTTTGTTATAAAAGAAACATTTGTGCTTTAGTATTTTCATTTCTCCTATGCACAAAAATCTTTATTAAGACACTGGGTCTATAGAAGATTCTTCTTGGATATTACAAGACAGAGAAACTCTGTGGAGAAATATTATATAACAACAACATAAAGCTTTATTAAGACCTTTTGGTCTTATACAGATTCTCCGAGTAGAAGAGGGTATATACAGGAATAACAGTAATAGTAACAATAATCAACAATGTTATTTACAATCTATCAAATAACAACAACACAAATCTTTATTAAGACCTTTTGGTCTTATACAGATTCTCCAAGTAGAAGAGGGTATAAATACCAGTAACAGTAATAGTAACAATAATCAGCAATGTTATTTAAAATGTATCAAATAACAACAACACAAAGCTTTATTAAAACCTGTTGGCCTTATACAGATTCTCCGAGTAGAAGAGGGTATATACAGGAATAACAGTAATTGTAACAATAATCAGCAATGTTATTTACAATCTATCAAATAACAACACAAATATTTATTAAGACCTTTTGGTCTTATACAGATTCTCCGAGTAGAAGAGGGTATATACAGGAATAACAGTAATAGTAACAGTAATCAGCAATGTTATTTACAATCTATCAAATATGACAAAAGAAGAAAGAAAGGGCTTGGCATAAACTTATATGCAGGCAAACGGGAAATAAAAAATATTATAATCAACTCAACTCTACTTGGAATGTAATTTTTAAAAATCGTTATATCATTCTTTTTTTATTAATCTTTTGGGAGTTTTTATTATCATTACACATTTTAAAATGGACACTAGACTGTTATACTTGTTGTAACGTTTCATAGCAATAGAAAAAAAAAACATTATATAACCACATTTAAGAATTTTTATTAACCTCATACTGTGACCTATTATAACAGAAAAATCCGACCCTTAGTCATTATTTGATAGCTGAGTAAACACTATCGTATGTGTTGGCCAAACACTATGTCATACTAACATTTGTCATATACCGGATATGGCGTCATATATTTAACACACTCAGGTAACAAGATATGACGTATTTCTTCCCCTAGAACCCCCTCCCTCCAAGTAAATAAGAAATTTCCGCTATGTTGCAACTATCGTTTGGAATCGTTTTGAAAATAGAGCAATCCATAGATAAATCTTTAATTAAAAAAGGCATATATTGGATCAAAATATCATTTATTTCACCAATATTTCAGTTGGCTGAACGCCAACCTTTATCAAGGTATTATAACATTTTAAAGTGTGTCAACAACAAACTCAGCGCCACATAACGTCAACAGCATTAAGTTTTTAAAAATATTTTGTTATATTCAATGGGGAGAAAAAAGTTTGATATATATTTATATTATGGACAAAATAATTTTTGTAAAATATAGGTGTGAATATTTTGAAAATTAACAATAACGCCTATTTTTATATATATTGGTAAAATAAATGATATTTTGATCCAATATATGCCTTTTTAATTTAAAAAAAATTAAATAGTTTGAAATGAAAAGGTTATTATCATCCCAATTATATAATTGTACAAGGTCTTTTAGACTGAATTCATGATTTACACGTTCTTCAGTATCTTCATCAAGAAATAAGCAACTTAGACTTTATTAATTGATTTAGCCGTTTAAAGAGCAAGAATTTCATAAAATTTTAAACAATATATTGAACATAGTAAATATACAAATACACAAGTATCTTAATCATTTAATACAATTCAGAGAGAATATCATATAGAATTCCTAATTTGAGAATTTATCGAATTATACTCCTAATATAAAAAAAAAAGAATGGTCAAAAATAACAAAGAGAATGCTGTTTAAAAGTTAACAGACGAATAAAATGGGAGCAGTTATAACTAAAAAGGTACACAAACGATTATAAATGTGAGCAGACGAATAAAAAAGCAAACAAACGATTATAAAAGTGATCAGACGAACAAAAAAGTGAACAGACGATTATAAAAGTGATCAGACGAACAAAAAATAAACAGACGATTATAAAAGTGATCAGACGAACAAAAATGCGAACAGAAGATTACCTAAATAAAAAAAATGAATAGACATTTAAAAAAAAGGAGTGAGATTATATCAGACGAAGAAACCAATATGGCCAAGTTGCATAAAGACTCTGCCATTTGATTATCTGAGCAGACCTTCCTGGAAAGAAGTATATTTAGAAACCTCTCTATGGGAGGCTCCAATATCTGGGTCATACGGCCTCTTTGGACGCACGCACACCTCCGTCCGTCTGTCTGTCCTTTAGAACATGGCTACCGGACTGTGGAGGGAGTTACTTTCGAAAATTATACCAAAGCTTTCACACCTTCCTGGATATATCTTTATCAACAGGAAGTATTATGTGTTTGAAGAAAGGCTGTATATTGAAGATTTTATTTAAATTTGACCAATCTGAATTTATTATAGATATTGTATCAAAGTAGAAGTTCGTTTTATGTATAAAAGAAACATTCGCGCTTTTAAATCCTTTTATTTTATTGTATCAAAGTATTTAATATTTTATAAACAGTTTATTAATATTTTTCGAGATATATTATTTCTAAAACGACACTTGAAGTTTCACCGCATGAGTTTCTTTTCAACGACAAATTAAAATTATATTTCAAGGTGAAATATCGACTATTTCTAACCTTTTGGATGAGGTATGAAAGGATGAATTATGAAGAGTAATGTCGAACGGAAAAATAAAAGTGTCCAGGGATGGGAACATAGTGGACATGGCATCTGCCCGGTAAGCGGAACATTGTGGGTTCGATTCCCATCCCTGGACACTTTTATTTTTCCGTTCGACATTACTCTTCATAATTCATCCTTTCATACCTCATCCAAAAGGTTAGAAATAGTCGATATTTCACCTTAAAATAAAATTTTAATTTGTCGTTGAAAAGAAACTCATGCGGTGAAACTTCAAGTGTCGTTTTACAATTACATGCCGCAGTGTATTATATTATATATTATTTCTATTTAAGAAATTTCTTTTCCTCGGATTTACCCAGAATAATCTATTTATTAACTTGATTGACTTAATTAAGTTTTCCTGTATATAAATTTCATTATTACCATTATAGGTGATTAGCTTTAAAAATAACATAGCTGATTACTAGTACTATTACTTTTGTTTCTGTATGTACCCACATTTCTGTGCTAGGAGAATCTGTATAAGACCAATAGGTCTTAATAAAGCTTTTTGTTGTTGTTATATATTTTTGTTACTCTGTAAACTTCCCTCATTGCCTCTCTGGTGTTTTATAAATGTTGATTTGTTCTTGCCTTAAATAAATTGTCGTCATGCTGAAGTTTGTCTTTCCTGAAATTTCCTATGTTACAATATATATATGTGATACATTAGCGCGCCATCTGTTATGAGAATTTGAAACTATTATAGACGCGTATGATTCTTTTAAAAATTAAACAATTTTCTCTACTACCCTTACTGCAATGGAAAATTAATGGGAGGGCCTGCCTCATCAGTGGTGAACCCTCCCAGCGGTTTTGGTAGATTAAACTAGTGTAACCGTTGGGAGGGTTCATCATTGATGAGCCAGGCCCTCCCATTAATTTTTAATTGCAGTAAGGGCAGTAGAAAACTGTTTAATTTATAAAAGAATCATACGCTTCTATAATATATAGTTTCGAACTCTCACAATATATATATATAAGTAGTGGACTACATTAAGAAATTTTACATATTGGTTAGCTTGAAATATAGAATAGCATTAAAGGCTATTTAAACCATATATAAATTGGTCCAAATAACAAACTAATTTACATATTTTGGAGTTATAAAGTGATTATAATAATGATTTATTAATGATTTCCTATCCATTATGTGCTATTGCTAAAACACTACTATATTATTACTAATAATAACATACTAATTCTTATAATTAACTTTTATTAAAACAATTTTCGTTGTGAAAAAACTCGGAAAGAACACGGGCTAAACTGGGTCATTCACAACTTGTTTAATATACACTCATTGACAGAACTTGAGGAAGTGGAAAATCTCTTGGATATCGCCGGTCGTATGTTTTTATGGGATATCATTGTTAAATAACATTTCTCATCCATCTTCCATTTATCTAACAATGATATCATCAGGCCTCTCATCCGGGAGGCATTTACCATAATCCCCCCCTGTCCTACAGGTCTTCGGGCATGGCCTAGACGATGACGCCCTGGCCATCCTGACGTCTGCCAAGACACACATCTATAGGTACTTCCTCGGCGTGGAACTGAGGAGTGAAGACCTTGTCTGGAGGAGGACTCTCTCGAGGAGTGAAGACCTTGTCTGGAGGAGAACTCTCTCAAGGTGGGGAAACCTTCCTTGCTGAAGACATTTGTACACATACACAACTATATATGAAAAAACAATAGAAAAAAATAAAAGATAAATGGGTCAGGTGTTGATATTAAAAATAAAGAAGGCATCTCCTGACCACGAGCACATGGCACTCTGCCATCTAAAAAGCATATGTGCTCGTGTTCAGGAGATGCCTTCTTTATTTTTAACAACTATATATGTATATTCCCCTACACTTTATATGCCCTTTTACTCTTTTATTTTTCTACCTTTGTAAAATTTGATTAGAAGAATCAATAAAATTGTTTAAATTGTCTAACAATGAAATATTGTTGTGATGTGACACCTATAAGAACGATATATATATATAGAGAGAGGAATTAGTTATTGATAGAGAAGAAGACAATGTTAGTCTTTCTCTCTTTTATTATTGGTAATTATATACAATTATATTATTTAAAAATGCCTATTTTGGATCATAAAGTTTTATTTACGATATTTCGTGTGGCAACTCGCTAAACTTCTTCGGGGAACAAGATTGTTTTGAGATGATCGCGTATCAATTCACGAGTATGTACAACTGCTATAAAATTTAAAATATCTAAAATCTACAATATGCGTGTTTATAAATATAATTAATAATAATAAAATAATATCTAAAATATTAATATATAGATATTGTAGATTTTAGATATTTTAAATTTTATAGCAGTTGTACATACTCGTGAATTGATACGCGAGCATCTCAACACAATCTTGTTCCCCAAAAGAAGTTTGGCGAGTTGCCACACGAAATATTGGAAATAAAACTTTTTGATCCAAAATAAGCATTTTTTAAATAATATAATATATGGATTGCTCTATTTTCAAACACATACAATTATATATATTTAATGTGACACAAAGAATATCAAACACTAATTAAATATACACTCACGAATAAAACTTAAGTAGAAAATCAGTTTTTTTGAAGGATACGAAGGCAATTTCGTTCATACTCGGTTATCTCGTGTGTCTTCAATAAAAGTCACTATAATATCTTTTAGAGTTATTGTCTGAATCCTGATATACGTAAAAAGTCTACGCTTCAAAGTCTTATAACCTTCATTCATCAGCTGAGAAATTATTTTATTAAGATGAAAAATCTTAGTACATGTATCATATGTAAATTTCAGTGTTTTCCCCTGTCAAATTATATTGACAAACATTGCAGTTTTAATCTTCTCAGTTATGCGGGAAGAATGTTGTTTATTTGTTAAGTGAACTGATCTCCCACGTCATTGGATGAATGTGGCCATGTTTGTATATAAAAGAGGGTTGAAACGGGATGCGAGGAGTCGTGGAGTGGTGTTCGAGTGGAGACGCTTAAAGCGTTCTCTATGTGCTTGTCTGGTGATTCTCCTCGCATACCTGTGAAACCCCGGTCTGCTCCTTATCAACGCTGAAAATAAAATATAAGTACTGTTTTTATTTTATTTAAAAAAATTGTGTTTTTTTTTTATTTACCCCCTTTTTGTTGTTGGTGTTGTACTCTTGAGTGTACTTTTTTTGTGTTTAAGTTACTCTTACTTTAGGCCCTAGTTTATTCCTTTTTGTGTGTTAACCCGCAAAAGTAGTAACCTTGTCACCCCCCTTTATTTTGTATCTTTTTTTTTTAATTTTCCTTGGATTTACCCTTTCAAATATGTTTATGAGCTCAATTTTCTTAATTACAATGTATAAATTTCATTATCTCAATATTGATTGTGATTAGCTTTTGCTTTTTTACCTTCATTTGCAGTGAATCCGCGGTAAATCCATGTATAATAAATTTATTTTCCTCCAATTTACCCAGCTTTTAGCTTAATTGTCTTTATATAATTTTTCCTGTATATAAATATCATATTACCATTAAGGTACTATTACTGTTTTTCCTGCATGTATCTTACATTTCTGCTTGGAGAATCTGTATAAGACTAAAAGGTCTTAATAAAGCTTTTTGTTGTTGTTGTAAATCCCGATATACAAGCTAAATAGGTACAACTTTCTTAAGTCTTGTCCATGAGTATCGTTAGAAGTGAATATCATATTACCATTAAGGTACTATTACTGTTTTCCCTGCATGTATCCTACATTTCTGCTTGGAGAATCTGTATAAGACTAAAAGGTCTTAATAAAGATTTTTGTTGTTGTTGTAAATCCCGATATACAAGCTAAATAGGTACAACTTTCTTAAGTCTTGTCCATGAGTATCGTTAGAAGTGAATATCATATTACCATTAAGGCACTATTACTGTTTTCCCTGCATGTATCCTACATTTCTGCTTGGAAAATCTGTATAATACTAAAAGGTCTTAATAAAGCTTTTTGTTGTTGTTGTAAATCCCGATATACAAGCTAAATAGGTACAACTTTCTTAAGTTTTGTCCATGAGTATCGTTAGAAGTGAATATCATATTACCATTAAGGTACTATTACTGTTTTTCCTGCATGTATCCTATATTTCTGCTTGGAGAATCTGTATAAGACTAAAAGGTCTTAATAAAGATTTTTGTTGTTGTTGTAAATCTCGATATACAAGCTAAATAGGTACAACTTTCTTAAGGTTTGTCCATGAGTATCGTTAGAAGTGAAAAAGAAGATGACTAGATGACAACAATGGTTGTTATGTCTCTCCAACAAGACTGTGTATATCTGATTAGCTATTGATTATTTCTACCATATCATATTATTTTGCTTTTTTTTTTCTATTTTTCTTGGACTCTGGAACGTCTATATAAAAAACACAATGTCATATTGAGATATTTGTGTTGTTGTAGTGCAAAAGTCAAGCAGTTTTCTATATATAGACATATGTACGTTAATGATAATATATCCAAATGACACAAGAACCTACAGGACATGCAACAATTGTTCTGGTGTGGAACTAACACCTCTCCGCGTATTCTTATGCCCAGCATTACCGCAGCCTTGCAGAAATTCGACCCAGAAAAGCAGCTTTACATACCCAAGATAGAGGACATTGCTGTGATAGAGATGTACGGAGACATTTGAGGCTCTTCATTGGACACGTCATAACAATAACAACAGAAAATTGACATGGACCCAGAACAGCAGCTTTACACATCCAAGATAGTGGACATTTCACACCCAAGATAGATGAGACATCTGAGGCTCTTCATTGGACACCACAACAACAATAACAACAGAAAATTGACATGGACCCAGAACAGCAACTTTACAGACCCAAGATAGAGGACATTGCTGTGATAGAGACGCATGGAGACATCTGAGGCTCTTCATTGGACACAACAACAGAAAATTGACATGGACCCAGAACAGCAGCTCTACACACCCAAGATAGAGAACATATCGACTGCTGTGATAGAGATACTCTGAGATATCTGAGGCTCTTCATTGGACACCACAACAACAACAGTAAAACCCGTCCCAAGCCTCTACTCACCTAGATTATCCTGCCAATGTTAT